CTTTTTCGGTACTTAAAACTGGTAGTGTCATATATTCTCTCTGCTCTTCAGTTATGTGACTTGAAACTTGTAGTCCACTGGAAAATAGTGTTTGAAAAAGCCTGGTCCCTTTCCATTCTTGCATCCTGGATTCTGTTGATGCATGTGGAGATTATTTTCATAAACAAATTCCAGAAATGGGAAAGTAGTACATGATATGACAAAAACTTTGAAAGCTTTAAGAAAGATGATTATTACAGTGTCCATTCATGATTCCAGAGGATGAATGATGAAACATACTATCTATCTCTTGACTAGAAGGAAATAGATTTGGGGTGCAAAATGACACATATTTTTGTAGACAGCAAATTAGGGAATTTTTCTTGACTATGTATATGTTATAAGGACTTTGCTTTTTTCCCTTTTTTCAATGGAATCGGAGAGTAGGAGGGAGAAAAAAATAGGTTTCGATTAATTTATAAAAATTCAAAATAGATGAGGGTGTTACAGATGTGAAATATTACATGTAGTTTCAGATGAGGCCACTGTATTATTATTTTTGCTTAATTGTTTTACTTTGTTGCAAGACACTAGTCACAGAATGGAGGTAATCTAGGAATGTTTGTAATATAAAAACAAAACACAGCACTAAAACAAACAGAAAAGGGAAAGCGGTTATTAACTGTATCAGTAGTTATTAACAAAAAAGTTACCTTTTTTGCTGAGTAAGATCCAAGATTTTGTCTCATCTTTTAGTATGCTTCCCTCACTCATATTCTTTAATAATCAATCCCTCAACAGCCTCAAGATTTCATCACATCTGGTACAGAATTTCTTTTTGTTTAATCTGCTTTTCTCATCTTGTTTTCTTTAAGGTCATTTGCATATTCCCATCCTCACCCCCCTACTTTTTACTTCTTTTTCTGTAAATAGTAATGAAATCTATACTACCATTCTGGAAAGGGACTCCCTCTATGGTGCCATCATTCCCGTGATTCCCCAGAAAATAATAACATTTATATAGCATTTTAGGCACTTTACAAACTACCTCATTTATCCTAACAACCCTGGGAAGTGGGTGCTATTGTTATCCCCATTTTTTAGTTGAGGAAACTGAGGCAGAGGCTGTGACTTTTCCAAGGTCACATAGCTAGTGTCTGAGGCAGGATATGAACTCAGATCTTCCAGGCTCTCAGTTCAGAGCTTTGTATTCTCCTATATGTATTGTCTCCCCATTAGAATGTAAGCTCCTTGGCTTCAGGGACTGTTTTACTTTTGTCTTTGTATCCTCAGCTGATATTTTATAAATGCTTTTTCATTCATTCATTTTCTTCCTTATGCAGCATATTGGGTCTCTGCTGTCATTGATGAAAAAAAAATTTTTATAAAAATTGTTTCCATTTTTTTCACCTGAAATGGTTGAAACTTGCCCTCCTTGTTTTAACCTTAAATTAACTTAGGATGATTGTTTTGTTGCATCTTTTACAAAGTTTTCAATTAACTTGCTTTTTCCAATTCTTATTCATTGTAGGTGATACTCCTCATAATCTTCCACTATCCTCATCTGTAAGACCTTATGAACAATTTTACACTCTAAATCAGCATTGCCTTTGGCTTCTATATCTCTCTGCTAAGCATGTGTTTGCTGACTGACATGTTTTCTAGATTCTTGTCTCTGTGACAATTTATCTACTTTGATTAAACTTCCTTAGGAAATGGTTAGATAGTGTTGATATCTGTTCTTTTTATCCATTATCCATATTTTGCCAATAGCTAAAAAAAAAGGTCAAGTTGTAGTTGTCTCAATTACACACATATTCTCTTCTTTTAATTTTTTTAGTTTGGTATCGATTTTGTTCTTCAGCAAGCTAATAGCCTACTTCAGCTGATTTAGAAAATAACTTCCACATCAGTTAGCAGTCCTTTCCTGTTTGTTAAAATATAATCAGTTTCATATTTAATGACTATTTTGTGCTCACCATGTCCAACACCTCCTGCATCTTCTCGAAATGTTTGTTATATATAGGCATGAGACTTCTGTATAGTCCACAATGATATTTCTTATTTCTAAACCATTTTCCCCCCCCAAAAAAACCGTTTTTTTTGCCTTTCCATATGCCCCCTTTTCCTTTCTGAGCCAATCTACCTAGCATTTGTTAAGTGCCTAGTACTTGTAAAGCACTGTGCACAAAAATGATATAAAAAAAACCTTGCCCTTAATGATGTTATATTCCACCTTTATAATGAGGTCACCAAATTATGTAGAGACAGATTCAATTTTAAGCATTTTATCAATTTTTATGTAACCTCATCTTCTGTAATTGATGTTGGTACATAAACTTCAATTATCTTCAGGGTTGTCTTCTTGAAAATGCTTATCGTGAGCATTACTGTATGAAACAATTAAATGATATTTCTTGTTACCCTGTAACGCACAATAAACCCAAATCTACTGCCTTCTTTATTCACCTCTTCAAAACCTCAGTGCTTTCCTTCTATTTAAATGTATCTTCTTTTTGTCTTCTGATTTTATTTATAGCAAGATTGTCAGCATTGCCAAGACTCAGTTGTTAAGATAGTACATCAGCTTCTTGGTCATTAGAGAGGGATTTCATGTTTAGGTTACCAACAACTAAGTTAATTTTTATGGATGTGACCTAAAAACGGCATGATTCTTAGCACCCTCTGCTCCCCTTTCTGCCTTTGCCACCATCACTCTAAAAGAAGAAGGGGGTCTGAATAGATCTGAGTCTTTTTTTTTTCACATGACTTAATGGACCGCCTACTGGTAAAAAGTTTTTCCTTACTTCTCTAAGCTAAAGTAGACATAGTTTGATGCTGTATTCATACTGGAAGCCTCTCCAGAATGGTAGTCAGCCAGGGTTTGCTCTCTGTTGGCATAATCTTTGAAAACCTAGAATCACCTCCACTACAGGATGTAGCAAAGAGTAGGACTTTGTGGGAAGAAATATGCATTATTTAAACAAACACTGTTACTACAAGCCTTTCCCAAACATGGGTAAAAATGTAAAAGTAACCAGAAGAAAGCTGACAGCATTTTGGGTAGATACTCTGTGGAGGATTCATGGAAAAGAATGGCTAAGAATTGTGTCAAGATGGGAACACCTGAAAGGGATAGTGGTTTGCACAACACGAATGAAGTCGCGGATCCAAGTGTCAGGTTGGACTCCCGGGCAGAACTACATTTCCAAGGGGCCGCTGCAGACACCTTTTCAGACACAGCCAGGCGCACCAAGACAGAGTGGGCACTACGTTTCCCGGCGTACACTTCGGACATGGGCCGAGGGGAACTACATTACCCAGGGGGCAATGCAAGAGGCGGGGAGGGGGCGGGCCCGGTGGCCCATGCTCCCTCCCCCCTCCGCCCGTGCTCTCGCCCGGGAGGTAAACAAACTGTGCCGCCGACCTGACAGCCGCCAGGGTCGGCGCGGAGCGGAGCGGGGCTGGGGGGGAAGCCAGGCGGGGAGGCGGCCTCGGCCGGAGCGGGGGGCTGCGCTGGGGCCGGGGTTGCTCGGGCTTCCCCGCCGCCCCTCGCATGCCCCGAGGCAGTGAGTAGCCACCCGTGGGCGCCGCCGCTGCTCCGGGAAGGGACGGGGGCGAGGAGAGAGGTCGCCCCCGGCTCTGGGTGCCCCCGGCCCTGGGTCCCCCCGGCCGAGCTCATGGAGCGGGTGCGGATGATCAACGTGCAGCGCTTGCTGGAGGCCGCCGAGTTCCTTGAGCGCAGGGAGAGAGGTAACGGTCACGGGGCAGTGGGGGGGGGGGGGGCAGGGGGGGGGCCTGGGGGTGGGGGGGGGGCCGGGGGGTCACGGGGAGGGAGAGTGGGAAGGGGGAGGGGAGACCGCGAGATGGGGAGGAGAGCGGACCATGAGATGAGGGGTAGTGGGAAAAGGGGGATATGGGATACCGGATCGGGGAAAGAGGACCATGAGCTGAGAGAGTGGAAGAGTGCGGATGTGGGACCACGGGATGGGGCTGGAGAGGATCATGGGCTGAGGAATGGTGGAAGAATGGGGAAAGGGGATCATGGCATGGGGAGAGGGGGATGGCGGGGCCGGGAGACCATGGGATGAGGAATAGTGGAAGAAGTGGAAGAGAGGACCACGGGATGGGGGGTGGTGTGGAAGAAGGGGATGTTAAAGACCAAATGGATAGGAAGAAAGGAGACCATGGGTTGGCGAGAGTTGAATGAAGGGGGAGAGACTAGGATAGAGAGGGAGGGGACCACAAGATTGGGAGGGAGGGTGGAAGAATGAACATATGGGGACCACAGCTGGAGAGGGACAGGACTGGGAGGGTGGAAGAAGGGGAAGTGAAGACCTCAGGATGGAGAGGGAAGGGACAGCTTTGTGGGGAGAGTGGAAAAAAAGGGAAAGATAGGACCATAAGATTGGGTAGGAGAAGGAACCATTGAATGGAGGAGAAGAATAAGGGGAAAGAGAGCCTCTCTCTTTTTTTTTTATTTTGCTTAATACCTATTACAATGCATTTCATATAGTAACTGGTGGTTAATAGATATTTGTTAGTGGATGAATGTATGTTTGGAGTGCACAAAAGGAGAAAGATCTGCTGGGAATGGGGTTTTTGAGGGTGAGGGAGAGGCAGAAATTGGAATTCCCAGGAGTTTGGGTACTTGAAAGTTAAAGGTAGGGGAATTTAGGTTATGAGGGGAGGAAAGAGACCTTTAGTGGTAAGGGTAAGGGTGGTACAGTGAATGTATGTGGATAAAGAGAGAGGTCATGAGCTTGTGATGGAGACAAATTATTCAATTGAACGGACATGTTTTAAGTGCCTGCTATGTGTCAAACATTGTCTAGGTTCTGGGGATCCACCACATATAACAAGGATGTACGGTGTAATTACTTTATGTACTGCTCTAGTGTGAGTTGGAATGTCATTTTCATCTTTTTTCTGTTTCAACAGCCCATTGCCAGGAAGAGGGCTCTTGGCCCTATGGATTCAGGTGCATTCCTCTTTACCCTTCTATCTTCTGTCTTGTGCAGAGTGTGAACATGGCTATGCCTCAACCTTCCCTTCTGTGCCAAGTCCTCGAATGCAACACTCAAAGCCACCACGGAGACTGAGCCGGGCACAGAAGCACAGCAGTGGGAGCAGCAATACCAGCACTGCCAACAGGTACCATTCTGAGGATCCCAGAGAAAGGAGCTGGAGAGGACAAGCGGAGGCAGCAGTGCCATGTCCTCTGAATTTAGTTCTGCTCAAGCACTAAACCTAGAGGCATATTGAGGGAACAAGAGGTGGGGGTTTGGTCCTCTTACGAAAAAAAGCAGTCAGAAACGGAAAGCCCATAGTGTAGCTTGGTGAGAATACAAGGTAATAAAAACAGTGGAGGTGACCTTAGGAGTTCTTGCTGGGATTATTAAAAGGGAGGTCACAGGCCTAAGAAAGGAATGAGTCCAAGAGAATTGGCATGTATGTACATGCATGCACATAGCTGCAAGTAGTAATCTTGTATCTGACTCCCATTCATTCCAGTTTTCAGGAACAAGAGTCCAAAACACCAAAAATATCCCTAGAAGATAGAAAACAGGAAAATGTTTTGTTTTTAAGTAATAAGAAAAAATGTAGGTAGAACAAGAAATTGAGCTCATTGGGAGGGAAAGGATAGGGAACGGGAGAGCGAAAAACATGTTGTGGAAGTGTAGTTTCTTATTTAATAATAAACCAGATTGGATTGTGTTGTAACCAAGACAGAAGACCCTTAAAGCAAAAAAACAAAAAACAAAAAAAAAAAACTTTTGAAAGGAGCTGCTTGTCTTTCAAGCGGAACAAATCCGTCCAAAATGCCTGTCTGGGTATACTCAGACATAGTTGGCTTCCATTTTTGAAAACTTTTTTGGCAGAGTCTGGCTGCCTCTTCAGAGTTTTCTTCCTGGGAACCAATGATTTTCAGGGATTCACCTTGGAGCTCTTTCTTGTATTTTTCCTTTTTCTGGATACTTCTTTCTAAGATTCTCAGTTCCCTTTCCCCTCTTACGTGTGTACACACACACACACACACACACACACACACACACACACACACCCACCCCCCTTGCTTTTCCCATTGATAAGAGAAAAACTGAGTAGGATTGTATCATTGGCTCTTAAAGTATCATCTATAGAATAATGTGAGGCATCAGATTTGATAGTGCAATACCATCCCTAGATTCACACAACTTAGCCCTATGTTTTGGAAGGTACCATAAGCCAGATGGTTGGTCATTGACTGCAGTAGTCAGCTTTTGAGGGAAAAGGAGGTGCTTCCTTCTTATTGATGCTTAAAAAAATCAGACTATTTGTATTTATACATATGTGTATATATGCCTTACTAAGGAGGAGAATGGATTTTAAGCTAACTATAGCTATATAGTATAGATTTGATCAAAGCAAAATGTCTACTATTCTCTGCTACAGCACGTTCCTCTCAGGCTACGTGTTGCCTTTTTGCGATTCCTTTTCCCATTTATGGCTGCTATATTCATTTTAACCTGCTTTTCTCTACAAAGATGTTTGGGGTGGGAGAAATACAGTATGTTTTGGCTAGGGTATTTAACCACCCTGGTGATGACCCTGGACCTTGCTTCTCTTTTGGACATATGGGTTAGGGAAAATTTCCTTTGGTGCTTTTCATGTTCCCTTTAGCCTGAAGTTTTGAGTCACAAACTCCATGAGGGCCTTTGTATAGTACTTCCATGAAAACTGAGGTCCTTCCATTAATAATCTGATAGGATACACACATTTTAGTTGTGTAAAATTAATAATTGCTTTCAAGGTAAGAAAGAAATATGGGTAGGTATGAATCGACCTGATGTCTTTGTGTATTTAGTTGTCGGTGACAAAGGTGTGCTCATCACATTATGTCAGGACTGAAATGAGAATTTATTTGGGGTCTAGAAGACCTGAGTTCAAATGTGACCTCAGATACTTCGTAGCTATATGACCTAGGCAAGTCTTTAACCTCTGTCTCATTTCCCTCATCTGTAAAATAAGGATAATAGTACCTACCCCTTAGATTGTTGCAATGTATCAAATGGGGTAATATTTGCAAACTGCTTAGCAAGCCTTAAAGTGCTATAAAATGCTAGCCATTTTTATCATAGTGGCTACATCATTTTGATTATTTTCCTCTGGTCAAGATATTTAAATCCTCATACTATTTAGGAACTCATGTTGCTTTCAAGAATTTAACACATTTTTAAAAATTGTGTTATATGGTATAGTTTAGGAGTTCTTTACCTTTTTTGTGTTATGGACTCTTTGGGTGACAGTCTGGTGAAGTCTGTAGACCCCCTTTAAAAATAATATTTTATTTTTCCTCCAGTTACATGTAAAAACAATTTGTAAACATGTATTTTTGTAAAGTTTTGAGTTCTAAATTCTATCCCACCTTTCCATGCCCTCCCCCCTTCCTGAAACTGTAAGCAATCTGATATAGGTTATACATGTGCAATCACGTAAAACATTTCCATATTAGTTGATTTGTGCAAGAAGACTTAAACAAAAAAAGTGAAAAATAGTATGCTCCAATCTTTATTCAGACAACATCAGTTTAGTCCCCCTTTCAGAATCATATTTTTAAATGCACAAAATTAAATGCACAAAAAAACCCTTGTATAAGATTACAAGGGAAATCAGTTCCACTGAAATATAGTTATCAGAATATTTTAAAAAAACAAAACAAGTTCATGGACACAAAGTTAAGAACTCCTGGATAATGGAAAGAGTAATGGACTGGGAATCAAAGACTTGGCTTCTTTTTAGTCCATTAATTGGTTCTGTTAGTATATTTCATATTTATTAATTGCCTGTATGTGCCAGGCATTGGATACAAAAACAAATGAACCACAGTCCTTGTCCTCAAAAAGCTTACATTCTGTTAAAGGGGATACAACTTTTATATAGATGAGTAAATAGAAGATAATTTGAAGAAAGGGAGAGAACTAACAACTAGGGAGAATAAGTAAAGATTCCTATAGGAAGTGGCACATGAGTGCAATGTGGTTGTTAAGTAACTGCCGGCATTGCCATTAATTGCATAGCCTTGGTGAAAAAATTTCATCTCTCTGGGCCTCAGTTTATTCATTTGTAAGATAAGGGTTTCAGATTTTTAGGGCATCTTTCAGCTCTACAAATGTATGATTCTGTGACTTATTGGTAGTTGAGAAGATACAAGTTAGTATGTCAGAGATCTAGAATTATAGCAGTAAGTTCATATTTGGCATTTCCATTAATATTTGAATGATATGTTCCACCTGATAATAGGGGGATTGAATAAAAATATGCTGTTATAATTTACTAATAATACTGGAAGACTTTATCTGAAAAGTCCATTATTGTTTACTTTGAACATTTTGCTCAACCTGGATTTTTGACTGAGTAGTTTTTCTCTGTTCTGGGGATTTCTGATAATTATAATAATAATGATGATTCACATTTATACAGTACTTTCAGATTTACAAAGCTGCTAGACCTGTAGATTTGTGTATGGGACCATAGTGTTTTTACTGCCTGTTTTGACCCAAGCCTTTGCAATTTGTTTGAAAACACAAGCATTTTATTGTTGTTGTTGCGATTGGGGAATAACTGCCCTTACACAAACCAGACCACCCAGACTAAGTATAATGATTTTCCTTTAGGAAAGAAGGAATGAAGAAAGATTTCATAATTTTACCAATTGACATTAAGGTTATTAAGGGCAAGGATGATTTCGATTTTAATCTTTGTATTCCCATAACTTAACATAGTCCTTGTTGAATTGAACAATACATAATCCAGAAGAGTCCTGTAAAATGAGTTTTGGGTTGTAGCTTCAGACTGTTAAGAAAATTGTGTTGAGAAAATACATTGATTAAAATGAAGTACTGAGAATAAGCTGGTCTCTCTACCCATTCCTTCAAAATACCTGGCTTTTGGAAGTAGAGTGTCGATTACAAAAATTTGGATGTTAAATTGCAGTGGTGAGAAACCCAAATTCAAATATGTAGATGACTCATAGAGTTGTAAGAAACCTCAAAGGTCATCTACTCCAATCTATTATCATATAGAGAAATACCCTCTATAAAATCTATTCCAGTGACAGAGATCTCACTATTCCATTTTTTGATTGCTTTAATTGTTAAAAGCTTTCCCTTATGCTGAATCAAAATCTGATGTTGGACTTAATTCTAATTTCCAGGAAGTATAGTCTTTTTTTCTACACGTTAACCCTTCAAATATTTGATTGCTGCTTTTATGTACTGATTTAGTATTTTTTTTCATTGCTGGTTCATTAAGCAGTTGTTCCTGTGACACAGTTTTGAACCCCTGCACCATCCTGACTGCCTTTCTTTGGACAGATTCTATATTTTGTTAGTATTCCTTTTAAAAATGTAGTGCCTAGAACTTAATACAATATTCTAGGTGTGGACTGACCAGCCGAGTATTTAGTGGAATTCTGATGTTTGTTATGTATTTATATATCTATGACCTAATATTGTATTAGCTTTCTTAGCAGTTGGGTTACACTCTTGATGCATATATTTGGTAAAAACTTCAAGTATTTTTTCTATGAACTGATGTTAAACTCCGCCTTCCCATCACTTACTTGTTCGTTTTTTTTAAGTAAGCAAGGATATCGCATTATCTCTAGTACATTTAATCTTGTCAGACATTACCCATAGTGTTTGTTAGGAAAAAACCATATTTGTTAGGATTTATCAGGTCATGTTAGTTTGCTTTTAGGGGCTACTATGAGAATCCTCCTAGTTGTCACCTAGTTGTTGGATTTAAAGGCAATTTTACTGTTACTTTTGTAGCAAATATGCTTTATTTTAATAGCCTCTGAGTTATGTTCATTTGCAACAGAACTAAGCTAGTGTAGAAAAGTGAAACTGGATAGAAGTATAACTAAGTAGAATAACATTGACTTTTTTGGAGTGAAATTTAAAGAAAGCTTTTATTATTATAGATTTATGTTACATTTTACCAATGAAAATTGAAATAAAATCTTTAATTCCATAAAACATCTCTTTTAATGATCACAACCACCCTTTGAGTTACACTGTTATTATTATCACTAATTTGCAGACAAGGAAGCTGAGTCTCAGAGAGGTGAAGAGTAACTTGTCCAGGGCCTCCCAGCTACCAAGTGACTG